TGCAATGACTGGAGATCAAATCACCATTTTTGTTTTCAACATGCTTCAAAACTCAAACCCCAGCCTCAATCATTCAATCTTATCCCAAGTAACACAACCATGATTTGAAAGAAGAATCATCTACTTGCAACTTAAAACATTAGACAACAACACATTCTAACTTCCCTTACCTTAAGATCAATCCAGAAAATGAGAAAGAGAAGGAAAATATCCCACACAACTATGAGGAACTCAACATAGATACACTAGCTTGATCCTAGGTTCTTATAAGTAAAATCAACAACAATACAACACATATGAGATTAAAGAAAGAATTGGAGAAGATTTAGAGGAAAAAGGAAGCTCATTAACTGAAGCCTTTCTGTCTAAAATTTTTATCTCTAAGTTTCTAAAGACTTGAACTTATGAGGCTCAATTCAAAACAAAACTTTATATACTTTTCCCTTGATGTCAAATTAGATCTCTACCTAGAGAAACCTCTAACACTACTTAAACTCATAAGAAATCCTCATATTTCAAAGTTTCTCCACACAAAACAACAATTTACACAACAACATATAATTAAATAAAATTAACAACACTCTAAGACTCACAATGTTACAAAATTTGATATATAAACCAAGTAAAAATAACCAACATTAATTCACACAAATAGTGATAGTTTGTACTCCTTAACCAAAATGTTTATGATTCAAATCCTGACCTTAGATATGAAATAAACTATATTAAAAGGAAAATACTTACTTTGTGTGTGCTTATGATTTCTAGCGAAAATTAGTTATTATTTCTCGTACCAATACCATGATTAAGAAAATAAACCAAGTGAAAATGCTAAATCGGATATAATTGTTGGTGGAAATTTAATTATTAGTGAAGTTCAAAGTTAAAAGCTATTACTTGTATTTGATGGGTTAATTAGCTTAACTTATAAATAAGTATATATCTATTTGTAAACATTTAACTAAAAATAAGAATCTCTTTGTAAACATTTAATCCAAACTTGATACATTAATCAAATTGAGTATTTATCTATTATGAGAGCTTTTTCTTTACTTCTGGGTTAAAAACATTATAATGTTACTTCTTGTAGCAGGTTGTAATGAGAGTCAAGTTATTGTTAAATATCTTTGAAAACTCAAATGAAGATAAACAAATCCTCAAGGATTATACAAGACAATTGAGTGAAAACAAAGCAAAAGGAGTGAAAGTGAAACGCGTGGACGTTGCTCCAAGTTAACAATAAAAAACGCCTGCTTCAAAACTTCTGGCCGCTTTGAGTAGGATAAGGGCATTAACCTTTCACGTCTTCCTTGGTGGCATTATTCTACTTTTTTTTTTTTTTTTTTTTTTTTTTTTTTTTTTTTCTATTTTAAGTGACTTTTTAATTTTTTTTAATAATATTAATTCTCATAATTATTTTAATAATATTCTCATGAAATAATAAAATTTAATTACACTTTTAATTTTTGTAATATGAGATTTGTGTGATTTTGGTTTTCTAAGTTTTAATTAAGCTGATCAAATTTTCTAAATATTATAATTGTGCAACATTAGTTCATTTGTTAAATTCTTTGTTAAAAATTTAATAATTTTAAGTGATATGTCACTTATTGATGACATGAAACTCGATTAAGGGAATGATACAACATTAATATTGTACAATAATGTGTCATGTAAAAGTAATATTGAAATGTGAAAGATGAGAATTGGAAAAGTAAAAAATAATACTTAACTATACCGATGGATAATATACAAATGAAAGTTATAATCTATATATATATATATATTATTTCTAAATATATATGTATATATATATATATATATTTATATATAAATGAAAAATATAATTTATATATCTTAAATAGGTTAATAATTATATAATTTTAAAATAATATCTCAATATATGAATAATATTATTAATATTAATTTATTAATAATATTATTAACATAATATATATAAAAATTAATAATATTAATAATATTAATTTTATTAAGTCTATCAATATAAATTTTATTTGTTTACTAAAATATATATTTTTTTTTACCAAAGGTTAGTGTTCTCTATTATTTTTTTTTAAATTAATCTCAAGCTATTGATCAAAATTAAATACTATATGGACACTGAAAGTAAGAATAATTCGATTTACACTTTCAAAATATTGAATATAATAAAGACAACTACTAGGTCATGTTATTTGATATACTTTTTAATATATTTATATTTTATAAGTTTAAATTTATTAATAAATACAATTTAAAAAAAATATACATTTTATTTAATGTATATCGATCTTTCATAATTTTGTATTTGTAATAAACTTAAATATAATTTTAGTCTTTATAAGAATAAATGAATTCGGTCTTTATAAAATAAAAAATATATATAAATTATTTTTTGTTTGAATTTTATTCCTCAAAAATTCAAAATAAATATTTTTAAACATTTTGAGGTAAATAAAATTATAGAGTTTGATTCAATTTTTGAATTAAAATATGAAATCGTTTCAAATTAAATAAAGTCACACTTATTTATAAATATATTTTTTTCAAATGCACAGTGTAAGGTATAAAAAAATTGGCACATAACATAAAAGATATTTTATAATATTGTAAACTACTAAAAGATGTTTTTTTCCTAAATATATGTTATAATATTTAAAATGTATTTTATAAAATTATAGGCTATTAAATTAAATTTTAAAATAAAAAATTATTAATTATTTATAACATTTGAATATTTTTAAGTCATAAAGTATATATGAGAAAAATATTTAATATGATAACTAAAATTATTTTAAAGAAATTTTTTTACTAAAATAATAAGATAAGAATTAGTGTTAAATATATTAAGGGATTAAAATATTTTAGTAATTATATATTTTTAGTTTTATTTTTGACATACGACCTTAAATAAATAAGCATAATATTACATATTTTTAGTTGATTTTTAAATAATTCATGTTCTATATCAAATTTTAAAAATCTAACTATTGAATTTAAAGTTCGTAATGTATAGATCAAGTCTACAAATTTTTTAAAAAATTAAAAATTATTTGATACTTTGTTTTATTAATTCAAATCAACGTATAAAATGATTTTATAATCATCTATCAATTTGAATTAACGAAATGAAGTATCAAATGATTTTTAAAAACTTTTTAAGAATTTGCAGACTTGATCTATGCATTAAGAACTTTAAATTCAACGATTTGATCATTGAAATTTGATGTAGAACATGAGTTATTAGAAATAATAAGTTTAGGTAGACTTAACAAACGAATCTCTCTTCAAATATATATATATATATGAGAGGAGTTATAATTACACCGGTGTAACTTTTACCAAATGTTACACCACTCAATAACTTTATATTAAATGTGAATTTTGTAAATCCAACCGTTAGATTGAAAATTCATATCACTTTATATGTGTATATCAAATTTTGTTAAAATTGAACAACAATTTGAAGGTGATCATAGTGTTCATATTTTAGTATATTTTGAAATGAATATATTACGTCAATTTTGTTTTATAAAAATGAAGTATCAAATCATCTTTGATTAATATAAAATTTTGTATATATGATCTAAGAGACATGAACTTTCAATTTAACAGTTAGATTTACAAAATTTGCATTTAATATAAAGTTATTGAACGGTGTAACACTTAGTAAAAGTTACACCGGTGTTATTATAACCTCCCCATATATATATATATATATATATATATATATA